TTAGAGGGTGATGGGGGTCTACGCCTCTGGCCAAGGCATCAGGCCTGGGCAAGGGGCAGAGCCAGCAATCGGAGGGGTCTGGGGGTCCCCTGCCCAGGACTGACGCCTGGGCCAGAGGCATCAGGCCTGGGCTGGGAGCAGAACCAGTGATGGGGGGAAATGAGGGTCCTCTGCCTAGGCCTGATGCCTCTGTCAGAGGCGTCAGGCCTGGGCAAGGGGCTGATCCTGCGATTGGAGGGTGATGGGGGTCAACGCCTGAGGGCTCCCAGTATGTGAGAGGGGGCAGGCTGGGCTGAGGGACACTCCCCCCCCACACACACCCAGTGCACGAATTTCGTGCACGAGGCCCCTAGTAGAGTGATTATTTGGCTACTTACACTGGTGTTCAGGGAAGCCTCTCTGAGTTTTAAATTGGAACCTAAAAAAAGCAAAACATCAGTCATGCAGAGGAGTGTTGGCAGCATTTCAGGCCAATCGAAAGTGTCAGTGCCAGGACCCTAAGGCAGAAGCCTGCCTGGCCAATGTAAGAAACAGTATATACTGGCCAAGAGAGTGAGGTGAACTGAATTTGAAGAGGGTATCAGGGTACAAAGCTTCGCAGTCAGGGTAAAGGGGACTAGGTTACACTCTCAGTTCAACAGGAGACCTTGAAGGATTTTCAGATTAGGGGAGGAACGATCTGGTTTGCATCTTTAAATGACTATTCTGTTTGCTGCATAGAGAAAAGTTACAAGGAATCAAGACCAAATATGTAAAGGTCAGTTAGAAGGTTTTTGCAATGGTCCAGGTAAGAGATAACAGTGACTGGCGAGATGGTAGTAGGAAATGGAAGCAAGTAGTACAAAGATTCTGGGTATGTATTGGAAGTGGGTTCTATAGAACTTGCAGTGGACTGGAGGTAGAACATGAAAGAAAGAGAATATAATTAGGTTCCTGAGAACATTCAATTTAGAATATTTTAAGACAGACTTATGTACAAAGGAATTTACAAAGATATGAGTAGAGGGACTACAAGAAATGTAACCTGGGGCAAGTAGTGGCCAGGAGGTGGCCCCTAGGGCACTGAGGAAGGAAAGAATGAGATACTATTAAAATTGGGGAAGTGAAAACTTCCGGTGCAGTGGGCCACCTTAAAAGAGCAGTGGCCTTCCATGTCAGGAAACAGCCTCACAGGCAAGGAGAGACAGAAACAAAGACTCTGATCTTACTCTCCTCATCACTTCTGATTTCGTGATAGGACTTCCTTTTGGCCAAAACCACTGGAAGCCAGAACACAGAGAAACTCTATTATAGTCCTAGCAGGCCAGCATTCCATTTATGACAAAGTGTAAAAATAAAGATGGGGAGTACATCCAATTAGGGAAAATGGAAGTTACTGAAGGACATAAAGGATACCCCCTAGATTTTGGGGTAGTTGTTTACTGAGATGGGGGCATAGGGACAAGAGATACGGAGATCAGAGATTTTGTTTGATTTGGAAATGCCTATTGGACACCCAAGAGGAAATATCAAATATATAGTTGAATATGACTTGAAAATGATCTGCATATGGATGGAATTCATTCCACAAATCTGGATAATCTGAACTAGAGACAGATAAAGAAGAGAGGGAGACATAGGATCAAGCTCATGAAAGTTTGTGTCTATAACATGCTTGATTAGAAAAAGTCACTTTAATAGGAAGGCATGTGGACGCTTGTTCTGCTGAGCAATAGATGTGCATTTATGAGAAAATCAATATCTGAGAATGAATTGAAGGAAACTGCAGGAGAGAATCGTTCGCAGCACATCAGGGCCCAGCCTCTACATTACACTCAGCTGGGCCCTGACAAGCTGTCTTGCGTTGTTATCAGTAGAGGCCACCCTCAGCCCCACCCTTGCAGCCTCACTGTTGCCATAAGAACGAAGTGGCATTAAAGAATCGGCCCCTGCTGGAACTAATGTGCTCTGGAGATTTGTACCCAATTTGGCATCTTGTGAATAGTGCTTGGTGGTCTGTGCAGTGTATTCCCCCGAGACAAGTCTCCTAGATACAACACATTCAGGAGCCTGAGGTTTTAATAAATGATGTTGAAATGACACCGAAATTCTTCTGACATACCCCTTACCCAAGCCTAGCTCCCATGATCCCCAGCAACCCTATCCTACAACTATATCTGAGCGGAGTTCCTGACTTCAATGATTAAGTACAGCACTATGCTTTAATTCCAGCTTCTATTGATAAGTTTAACATCAGGGCACAAATTCATATTTAGATGGAGTTCCTTTTTATATCTAGGGAATTTTTTTGGGAAAGAAGAAGTTTTTAAGTTACATTATAAGTAATATCTAAGTAAAGACAGTCTAAGTAAAATTTTAAAAATATACACATCAGAATTAAAATAAAGCGAGACTCTATTTCCCAATATAAAAATGTATAGCATTTTTAGAACTGTGTTGATCCCTAGGTGAAATAAAATTTTTGCTGAAAATTCATAATTTTAATCCACACAGTATTTTGGGTAATGAAAACCACCCAGGAGCCTATGAACTTCATCTCTCAGTTAAGGATTACTGCTTTGCCCGGGAAGATCGAATTATCGGAATGACAGTGATTCAGCTACAGAGCATAGCAGAAAAGGGAAGCTATGGGGCATGGTATCCCCTTTTGAAAAATGTTTCTATGGATGACACCGGTTTGACTATTCTTAGAATACTCTCTCAGAGGACCAGCGATGATGTGGCGAAAGAATTTGTAAGACTTAAATCTGAAACAAGATCTGCTGAAGAGAGTGCTTGAAAGGAATACTGAAGATACCATCTTCGAGAATGCATAAACTATAATTGTTTGACTACTGCATGCATGTGCAAATACATGGGAATGTTTATTTCACTACATTTCGGTGTTTGCCAGTAATCACGTACAATGTCTACAAAGTACGTGGAAAACCTGCAGAACTTGTATACAGACCATCACTGGTCTTTGGGAAATAAATGTTCCATGAAGTGCCAAAATTATGATGTAAAGTGAAATATCCAGATCTTTTTAAATGTTTATTGCATCTCATTAACAATTTTTCACCCACTAAGCATACTGAAAAACAATTAAGTCTTTTCAGTTCATCTATTAGTTGTTTTTGTTAAATTGGTTTCAATTGCCCATAGATCAAAAAGATTTGTTACTCAAATTCTGTTTTATTTAGACTTACCTCATTGTAGATGTCTTAGAAATACCCTTTTCTATTATAACTGGAAATGCAGTCACCACTAGAAAGCATTTGTAATTTTATAGTTGAAGATATATTGTGATGATTTTTGCATACAAATTAAAATAGAAAAGGTGGGAAATATTTTATGCTGACCAGTTTCCAACCTTTCTGAAATATCACTGTGAAGAAATGCTATTAAAGCAAACTTATACAAAGCAATGCTAAATAGTTTGTTAACAATGTTTGATATATTGACAAAACTTTGTTCTTCAAAACTGCCACAGCCACATCACATTTGTTAAAAAGGTAAGTTGATGCACTTGCCACCTAGCATTATGTCTTGGCTTTATCAAATTTAATTCTTTACAAAGTCATGTAATGGAAAGTTTTTTTAAAAAAATATCTATCATAAGTAACTACCATTAGTGTTTTCCCTCTGACAGATATGACTAACTCCTTAATTACTTAGCACTGTAATCAGTTAAATGCTTTTTTTCTTTTAAAAATATTCAACGATTTGTACTAAATACAGCATTACTATATATTGCACTGGAACACAAAGCCTTGTCTTCATCTACTTAATGAAAAATGTAAAACAGAATCTAAAGAAATTGCTTACAATCTTGTAATTTATGTTATTTATAAGACCAAGATGCATCAGATGAAATAGGAAAACAATAACTAAGTTGGATTTTGAATATGAAATACTTCATGAATATTTGCATTTGCTGTATCTTTATGGTTTGACTTTTTGGAGTCTATCTAAATAGTTGGCTGTAGAACAGTACTTTGAAACATGCGCATAACTGTTAGTGGACAACATATACCTGCAGAAACAAGAACCAATTACAATGATTGTGTTTTGTGAACAAGCTGGTCTGGTATGTTAAGAACAAAATTAATATTATCCTGAATCTCAGAACCATTCTGCTACTGGATGTGAAAACACAGACCAGTGAAATCCACTAATTCATGTTAAATTGTTAGGCAATTGCTTTGTTAATGACTTCTCCAAATGCATAGTGCAATGTGATCCTGTGGCATATGCATTAATAAATGGATGTATATTGAGAACATGCAACACTTTATTGTATTTGCTGCCTTCTTATTTAATTCAAGAAGCATCATTTCATTATTTAGGAATAAAAACTCCAGTGTTTTTTGTTTGTTTGTTTTTTACTAGCTAGAACAATCTTCACATTGTTTGGTTCTAATATCTTATTAGAATTTGAAAGATACTTTCCAGGACTTGTATTCATGGAAACAGCTACATACTATAAAATAATGACCCTGAAAACAAAAAAGAACTGATGTCTCCAGCAGTGTGTCTCTCAATACTGTTAAGCACTATAAGAAAGTCAATATTCATCATATAAACAAGCAACATGAAAAAATGTTTCCTTATTTTAGTGAAGGATTCACTCTAGATTTATCTTATAATGATTTTACAGAACATTGACTTGAGCTCTTTAAGAGCACATTAGTGTCATAAGGCATTATATTCTTGAATAAATTATATTTTGGGTTTGCATTGATTGATTACTTAAAATGTTAAGCTAAGTATTTTTTCCAAGCAATCGTTTAATTATATCTATTCATTCTCTTTTTTGTATAAAATGTATATCTAATTACAGCATGAATTAAGTCTATTAATATCATCAAGTATAGGTACTAATATTCGAATAGTTATAAATTCTACAGTCCTTGTTGTTTCTCTCAAGACAAGTATTTCTCTTGTCTCCAGAAAAATGCCTGTTTATTTACATACTCAAATTAGTAATCACTCGGAGGCTCAGAGCAATCTCCATCAACGATGGGCTCTGTTAAAGTGTTGAGCAATTTATCTTATTCTAGGTAAAATGCACAAAGACAAACCTCTGTTATTCATATACAGATGAACCTCTCTCATTAGAAGCTCTTAAAGAAATAAGTGAAAATCAAATTTGGCCAAAATGAAGTGCTTAAAGCCATAGTGAAGCATTTATTATTTGAAGGAACTCTAATAAATGAGTATTTAATATAAGTAATCAGTTGTCCCCATCACATCTGCTCTAGTCTAAGATAATTTATACATTTAATTTCCCTTAAATGAGACACATTTATAAATGACAATTCTAGCTTAATGTTTTTTAAAATATATTTTATTGATTTTTTACAGAGAGGAAGGGAGAGAGATAGTTAGAAACCTCGATGAGAGAGAAACATCAATCAGCTGCCTCCTACACACCCCCTACTGGTGATGTGCCCACAACCAAGGTACATGCCCTTGATCAGAATCGAACCTGGCACCCTTCAGTCCACAGGCTGACACTCTATCCACTGAGCAAAACTGGCTGGGGCACCACTCACTTCTTAAAAACCTTTTGTCCCTTGGCTTTATTGGTTCCTTTTTCTCCAAACTGTTCTATTTCTTCTCAGTCTCCTTGATCAACTCCTTTTAAATGCTAATGTTCCTCAGGTGTTGGCTTCAGAATCTACGTTCTTTTCACTCTACACATTCTCCCAGGGTAACTCATCTACTCCCAGAATTTAGTGCAGACAAGAGCCAAAGCAAATATATGTTAGAAGCAATAAGTAGCACACACTGTAATGAAGGTGACAGCAAAGAGAAGTAAATAACAAAAGTATTAACTTTGTATCAGGACATTCCTGTGCTGTGGGGATCTGTCCTGTGTATTATAGGATGTTTAGCAGCATCACTGGTCTCTTCCCTGAGTCCTAATAGTCATGGCCTTCACCTTGGAAGTTGTCAGGAACCACCCAGCACAAAGAACTGGTAAACCAGGTGCAAACAGGTTGGTTGCATAACAATCCTCCTCGGTCTCCCACCCTTCTAAATACTCAGGGCTAAAAATATTACAGCCCAAGGAGGCTGTCCCTCTAGTGTTGGTTCTTTCTACGAGTTTAGAAATAACCCTGATGAAACAGGACATCAGTATCATGGTAGCGTGAGAAAACCTTTTGGTCTCTCCCCTTATAGTTACAAGTTGGACAACTATAATTCAACAAAGGATTCCCTGTGCAACACACAAACAAGTCTGAAGGGCTGATGCATTGGGACATATGAAAATGGGTCTATCAGAGTAACAGGGCAGGCAGGACGGGGGAAGGACAGAGACAGGTGCCACAGACACAGTCTGGCACTTGACATGCCCCAGTGGACATGGTAGTAGTGGAGGGTCAGCTTACAATCTCCGCTGGGAAGGCCGTAGGGGCAGAGGGGGCATTCTGCCCTGAGTGACTGGTACACATTGAGGCTGAGCCCAGGGTCCAGGACAGAGAAACCATGCAAAGGGTGGAGGCTGTAATCAAGTAGCTGCCATCACCAGGTGAATAGGGGTGGGAGGGAACAAACCTGCAGACACATGAATCCATCCCCCCTCTCCCTCCCATGGCCCGCTGGACTTCAGCAGATGTGGCAGTAACAGAGGGAGGTCACAAAGGGTAGAAGCAACATTTCAGCCTAAGTGGCCTGTACTCATTGCAGCTAAACCCAGTGGAAAAAAACAAAGCCACAGACATGTGAACCAGCCTCCCTCCATCCAACCACCTCTTTTTCACCATCAGAGAAGAACCTAGTAGAGGTAGCTGGGACACCTAGATAGCATGGCAGAGCTGGTGGATTCTGGTTCCAGAAAAACAATGCCACGAACTCACATGCCATGATCCCTCTTGCCCACCACACCCATCATGGGGGTGGTGCCCTAAGACCTAGGTGACCGGGTCTTATAGAGGACACCAACCTTCTTGGGGAATATGGGGCATTTTCCATTTTAAAGGCAACACCACCCCCACCAAGATTTCAGAAGTCCTAGTAATGTAAGAGAAAACAAAAAAATTGGCACTGTGGCACAATCTACTGCGAAACAAAAGAAAGGCCTCTACCAATCAACCCCCTACATGGTTAAAGGCATCAGGTACTTTAAAAAATTTCCATTCCTCAAATGCCAAAACAAAGAAATAATATATCAAGTACTACAAACAACCAAGGTAGCAAGGCAGTTCAGAAAGTATATGAAAAATTTCAAGAAAGTAAACACAAAGACATGGGGGATTGTGATTTCAATGACAGTGAATTCAAGAAAGCAGTTCTGAAAAAAATTCAGTGAGATACAAGAAAACTCAGAAAGTCAGTGAGCTCAGGAATAAAATCAATTAACAAAAAGAGTACTTTACCAAAGAGATTGAAACGATAAAAAACAAATAGAAGTGCTGGAGCTGAAGAACACAGGAAATGAAATGAAATGAAGTGAAATGAAATGAAATGAAATGAAATGAAATGAAATGAAATGAAATGAAATGAAGACCTTAGGAAATAGAGCAGACTAGATGAAAGAAAGAATTAGTGATATTGAAGATAGAAATCTAGAAGTGGCTCAGGCAGAAGGAGAGAATTGAGAGAGGGAGGGGGACGAAAGAACTCTATGAGATCTAACTCCATTACAAGGAACAATATAAAAATAATAATGGGTATACCAGAAGGAGAGAGAGGAAAGGAAACAGAGAGGCTATTCAAACAAATAATAGGTGAGAACTTCCCAAATATATGGAAAGATCAGGACCTTGGAAACCGAGAAGCTAAGAGAACATCTAATTATCTCAATGCAAAAAGCACCTCCCTGAGGCACATTATATTAAAACCATCAAATGTTTTACAAAGAGAGAATTCTCAAGGCAAACAGGGAAAAGAAAACTGCAGCCTATAAAGGAAATCCCATTAGATCAAAGAGAGAATTCTCAAGGCAAACAGGGAAAACTGCAGCCTATAAAGGAAATCCCCTTAGATTAGCATTAAAATTTTCAGCAGAAACCTTACAAGCTAAGAAAGAGTGGAAGCAAACATTTAAAATATTGAAAGAGGGTAATTACCAACTAAAAATAATATAACCAACAAAGTTATCCTATAGATTTGAAGGAAAAATAAAGGCTTTTCCAGACAAATAAAAGCTGAGGTGAATTACCACAAGGCCAGCGTTATAAGAAATTTTGAAAGGAGCTCTTGTACCTGAAACAAAACAAAAAAAGGACACAAAATTGTAAAATGAAAGACAGAAGCAGGAAATTGCAACTCTTGTTCAGAAATATAGCATAAAGGTTAAAGGAGGTAAACATCTTTTTAAAAATATAATAGCTACTGCAATTTGTAAAATGAATTCACAGCATAAAAAGAGATCATTTGTGACAATCTTCTATATATATATAAAACCCTAATATGCAAATAGAATGGTGGAACATTTCCTATAAACCATATTTTTTTTACCATATTTTCTTAGTATACTCGTCGACGACTGAAAAAGAACATTTTGTGAAAATGAGTATACACGTTTCTGCCAGGGAAGGGGTTAAAGGAGGTAAACATCTTTTTTAAAATAAAATAGCTACTGCAATTTGTAAAATGAATTCACAGCATAAAAAGAGATCATTTGTGACAATCTTCTATATATATATAAAACCCTAATATGCAAATAGAATGGTGGAACATTGGAACAACCGGTCACTATGGCGTGTGCTGACCACCAGGGGGCACTCACGGAACATGGCAGGCGGCAGCAGCAGGCGGCAGAGCGCAGAACATGGTAGGCATAGCAGGGATTGGTCACGGCGGTGGAGCAGGTGAGCAAGGATGGCAGACCAAGGCCAGGCAAGCCTCTGGTGGTTACTGAAAATTCTTTGCTCTCAGATGTTGCGGTCCTACTAGGTACTTGAACCTGCTGCCTGCGCCTGGCACCGGCCTCAAACACTCCACGTAGTCAGTGGGTGCAAGTGGGGCTGGTGCCATCAGTGCATGGGAGTGGTGGCAGCAGGAGCAGAGCTGCTGGCAGACAGGGGACCAGGGCTGTGGTGGGAAGGGCCCGGTG